CAGCTACTGACTCTTCGTCAACTAATGTTGATAAGAGTATGAGTACATGAAGAACAAACTTGCAGAGTATTATCTATACTAACAATCATATCCTCCACTCACACCCTGTAGAATAAACCATTCAAAGTTCTACCACTATCATATTATGCTCTACTAAAAAGGACTTTGAATACAATTTTCTTCCCTCTACCGTAGACTTATAACTTCAATTGATTTAATTTCCATTTTGAAAAACTTTATCTTGAATATTTGATTCTCATAGATTTACATCTTATATCCAAATTGGTTAAGCTAATAGGGAAAGGCAACGAAATCATTCAAGCAAAATTTGAACAAGAAATATATGACAATGGTATTGATATAGTTAATCGTACAAGTGCTACAGCAGTCAAAGTAAATAAATGTTTTACTATCTAATGATTTTCATGTACTTTTTATTTCATTATTGATCAGGAATCTAAAGCTTATATTGAAGCAATTATTGGCGTTTATGTGAGATTTTTTAAATTTGTCGACAAAGCAGTTAATCGTGAACAGGGTTATATGATTGCTCTTGACAGAGTAAAAATATTTATTTTTATTATATATATATATCTTGTTTATTTTTACAATTGATAGGCTTGTAGTAAAATTATTAATGATAATGTCATAGTACAAGAAGGTCAAAGACTAACAAAATCATCTGAATTATTAGCTCGTTATTGTGATTTAATTTTACGTAAAAGGTTAGTTCAATTTTAATAATTAAAATAGTTATAATCTGCATGTTTTTTTTTCTTTTCAGAAATAAAATTGAACACAATGAGATTGAAGAAAAAATCAATCAAATCATGGTATTATTTCCTATTTAATCATCATATGAATAATATTTATTTATATTCTATAGATAGTTTTTATTTGCATATAAGATAAATATATTTTTCAAAAATTTTATGGAAAATTATTAGCAAAACGTTTTGTTGATCAACAAAGTGTATTAGATGATTATGAAGAATCGTTGATATCAAAATTAAAGGTAAATAAGAATTTAATATTTTTCATCGGAAATCTTATCTTTTAAGCAACTTGCGGTTTTGAATAGGTATCAAAATTACAACGAATGTTTCAAGATATTCGTCTTAGTACAAGTTTAATGGAAGAGTATAAAGAATATTGTGCAAATAAACAATCAACTAGGATTTGTATGAATAATCAAAAGAATAATTGCTTGATTATATCTTTGGTTTTTTTTTCTTATTAATTTCAGCCGATTTTTCTGTTATGGTGCTTACATCAAATTCATGGCGATTTACAGTCCCAGCAATTTTTTACTTACCAATTGAAGTAGTATTTTTACTTAAATATATAGTTCTATTTTAATCTTTTATCTTTTAGCTTAAGTTAGCATTAGATGCCCATGTCGCACATTTACTTGCACTACAGCCGGTATACCGCGAGCATTATAAATACCTCCGGTATATCGCCGGTATGCCGGCGGGTTTTATAATGAGCGGGGGATACCGGTGGTTTTTACAGGGACCGCGGT